TATTCAAGCGACCTGGTTTTTTTTTTAATTCGGTCAAATATCTCAGATTTGGAAGGGTAATTGTCAAAAAAAGCCAAGAACGGTCAAAAAATCAAATTTTTTAAAACTTTTCTGAGGGCCATACAGAGGGAGCTGAAAGAAATCTACTGGGAAACGATATTCTTCCTAACTTAGGTATCAAAGTTTCACATTTTTCCGCCCCTTCAAGCAGACAAACAGACCAAATCTACCTAGTTCAACTTTGCAGTACTGCTACTCAAGTATGAAAATAAATTCGAATCAGAAGAATTCACCAACTCAACTGCGGAAAACGCCCAATAATGTGAGTTCAGAAAACTTATTCGAGCAACTTCCGAATATTACTACTAGAGTAGGTAGATCTAAGAATTTTAAAGTAAACACTTACTTTATAGACCCAGTAAAACCAATCCAGGTAAAAGGGAAACGAATCCCAATACACTTACTTCCAAAAGTAAAATTATGCGTCGACCAATTTTTGAAAGATGGTCATATACAAAAGCCAACTAAATGATCAGAGGAATTTTTTATTAGCCCTATCGTTGTAACCGTTAAACGAGATGAATCCGTTAAGGTGGCCCTCAACTCAAAAAAATTGAATAAACAAAAAACACAGAAACCGATACCAAATGCCAAACCTCTTCGAACTAATAGACAATGTGGCACTTACAATTTTTTGAAAATCAGAAAACTCAGTTTGGTTCTCATCGTTAGACCTCAAGTATGCGTATAGTCAAATTCCACTGTCTTATAAAACTAGTAACCAAGGTAATTTTATTATTGTGGGCGGAGAAATTACAAGCTCATACCGTTTTGAGACCGGATTTTACGGACTGGTTGACATGCCCAACAAATTTCAACGTATTATGGACATATTAGTGGGAAAAATAGCAAACACACACTGATACCTAGACGTTACACTTATAGCTACTGTTGGAACAGCCTGCGATCACAGCAAAACTGTCTTAAAAATAATGAAAACAATAGACGACGAAGGCCTATCCAACAAATGGGAAAAATGCAAGTTTTTAACACATGAGATTGAATGGCTGGACTTTAAAATAAACAATCTGGGAACCAAACCCATGTCACGCAAAGCCGACGCAATCACAAATCTCAAAGAATCAAAATGCATAAGACATTAGATCACTAATGGGATCAAAAAACCAGTTCAACAATTTCATATCTAATTAATGACACTCATCGCCGTTTAGAAACAATGCAAAAAAAAAACATTTTTTTTTCTGGACGAAAGAACATCAAAAAGCGTTTTAAAAAATAAAAACAGAAGTTTCCAAAGCGGTAATGAATCACCATTTCGACGTATCAAGAGAAACTAGGGTTAAATGGGACGCTTCGCATACGGGACTAGGAGCTTCACTTGAACAAAATTACAACGGTGTCTGGAAAACCATAGCGTTCGCATCGCGATTTTCAAATGGAGCTGAGATAAAATAGAACTGCTAGGATTAGTCTGATCGTTAGACCATTGTAAAAATTAATTGCTGGGGTCCCAATTTAAATAAAAAACCGACCATAAAGCATTGATAAAGCTCTAGGAGACGACCGTTACGCTTAAACAACTCAATCAAGACTAACTAGATTGGCTGACAAATTATTCCGTACGACTTTTCAGTCGAACAGACGCCCGGTAGGGCTATGGGATTTGTAGACTACCTGTCACGCCAACTTACAAATAAACCCACCCCCATCTTAGAAGACGACGAGAAAATTGTTTTCGCATGGGTGCATAATATTGGAATTTTACTGGGCTTCGACAAAGCCACGCCTGATACTCAAGTAAAGATTGATAGAGAACAATTCGCTCTCGATAGCGTTCAAAGTGTGAAAACTTGCTGCAATGTGATCGGCCACAAGCAAGAGAACAAAACAACGAAAGAAATCGAACAGGAACAAGTAGTCCAACACGCTGCAGAATAGCTTGAAATCATTCACGACCAAACTAACTTCTACGTGTGTCAAAACTCATGATAGAACAAAAGTGTGTTCTCCAGAGTGTAAAAAACTCGACTTTGCAGTCAACGCTAAGCGTTTAAAATCTATTGAATACGATTAAACCAGAATGGAAACCACCAAAAACTCAGATTCTATTGTCTATGATGTCCCTGTAATGATATCAATGTCTATGATATCCCTGTAAATAAACCCATTATTCCATCATCACCAAAAAAGAGGGAACAATCGAAACCTAAATTATTCCCTTTTAAATGGCCAGAAAAAATCGACACCAAAATAATGGCGGTGTGAACATAAAGACATTATACTGAATATGATTTTAAAAGCCATCTCCGAAAATAGAAAGCAAGATAATGCTCAATTGGGAAATTATTAGAAATTATTTTGACGGCTGCTTATATTTTGACGGACGCTTAGTGATTCCAGCCTCTTTGAGAGCACCCATAATATCACGCTTACAGGAGGCGCCCTCAGGACAATTCGCTATGAAAAGGCTATCTCTCCAATATGCATGGTGGCCAAAAATCTACCGAGAAATTCAAGTACATGCGGAGAACTGTATTGAATGCGCCAAGGCCGGTAAGAATCTAAAACTCTTAATAGCTACTTCACAAATCGGAAAACTCCTTCCACTAGTCGAGCCAAATGAAGACACGGAACTAGATTTCGCCGGACAGCAGTTGTGTGGGGAACAAAAAAATACATCTTAGTATATGCTTTGACCGTTTCCCTAAATTCCCATCAGCTCAAATTACTTCCAGCACATCAGCAAGAACTTAAATAAACATCCTACAAAATTACTTAACATTACATGGTATCCCAAAAGATATCCGAGCAGAGCAAGGGTCCGGATTCATAGCCAAGGAAGTTAAAGAGTTTTGCCATGAACATAACATTATCTTAATCTTTATTCTGGTGGCGGATCACATTGAAGACGCCGAAACTGACAGATTTGATTCATCATCGGATGAATTTTCCAATTCAACAAAATACGTCTTACAAGCGCAGGATCGCCTATAAGAGTATCGGGAAAAGCTCAGAAACGAGCCGCTTTAGGACTGATAAAACCGAATACACCATCTCAGTGTATTCACTCAGTGTATTAGGACTGATAAAACCGAATACACAATCTCAGTGTATACACCAACTCTACGAAATACTGACAACCAGCCAAAGGTATCAGTATTTCGTAGAGTTCAAAATATAAAAAAAAACATGACCCATACTACATAAAACTCACTGATGAAACCAGCTGGACTTTCAAAAATTTGTTGTTTCAATTAAACTTAATATATCAGATTTAGCAGAATAGTTAGCGAGAAAAGACCAAAAAACGGTCAACAAATCAAAAATTTGGCATTGTCGAGAATCAAAACTTTCTCTGTGAAAACATACGAAGTAGCCGCTTATGCAGCAGATATTCAAGCGACCTGATTTTTTTAATTCGGTCAAATATCTCAGATTTGGAAGGGTAATTGTCGAAAAAAGCCAAAAACGGTCAAAAAATCTGATATGGCAGGGTAATTTTTGAGAATAATCAAAAAGTTTAAAAAACGGTCAAAAAATCAAAAGCTCGACTTTTCCGAGGGCGAAAATTTTTTTGTGTGAAAATTTTTGTGAGTGGCCGGTAATGCATGGGAGTTTTCAACTACCCATTTTCTCCATTGAATCTATAATACCAAATTTGAATAAAAAATTAGAATAATCCGAGGGCCAAAACTGCATAAAAAAATTTGGATGTAGCCCCTTTTGCAGGGAGCTTTTCAAAACCATTTGATTCATTTAAACCAAAAACTCAGATTTGATACGAAAAAATAAATTTCAACAAACCGATTGATAAACACACAACCGACTTGAAACGTGCGAAGGAGAAGAAGGTTAAAATTTTGGTTTACTTCAAAAATTATCCTCGGGCCAAGTTATTTCGGCATATTTTTTATCGGCTTAACAACCTGAATTTCAGACGTTTCAAGTTGAAACGACTTAAAATCAGGTGATTGGGCCGATAAAAAACACCGAAATAATTTGGCACTGCGCTATTTTTTAGCAAAACAAAAAAAAAGAAATACGAAGTCATGATTAGTAAAATTACAAACTTTAGAAATAAATCAAAACTAAAAGCAACATTAAAAAAAGCGCAGCAAAAAACGACTCCAAGACGTGACAACTAACCCGACAACAGATAAGCAGACAACTAATTAGCCGACAAATTTTCCCGTTTGAAAAAAAAACAGGTCCTGCTCAGATTCGAATCCAGGACCTTAGACGTCCCAGGCATTTTCGTTAGAGATAAGTTTTAAGAAATTTGAATAATTATTAAGCAAGGAACCACTACAGATGAGTCGAGTCGAGTCCGGAAGAGTCCTGTGAACAATGTTATTTACGGAAAAAGTATAGGACCCGATTGCAATACCGTTGCTTATTGCAAAGGTAACTATTCGTATACTGAAAATCGTTTTAAAAAGGTGCTTAAAAGATGGGTCTGATTTTTCAGGGTATGAATCGCTTTTCAGGTTAAATTGATGAGAACCAGACCTACTAATTTAGTTGAACAATTTTCACAAGTTCTGAGAAGAAATGCATGCACTACAAGCTGTTTAATTTATGGCTTTTCCCACTAAGTTCTTTGATTTTATATAATTGCTTTGAATTTAAAAAATATGGTAGTCTTCATAACGTACTCATTTGTCACGTTAAACAATAACCTTTCCAAACCCAGATGTCTATTATACATCCTTTCGGAATACGACGAATTTAGCCATGATAGCCTGTAGAACTATTATGAAAAAAATATAAACGAATTAAGGTGGGCGTGAAATTAGCTCAAGTGATTTCTATGAAAATTAATAACCATATTCTTACGTAAGTCTTACATGGGCTTTATAGTAATTAAGGAGAGCTCCAATTTTTTGATAATTCACAGCCCACCCCCTCCAGAAAACCTAGATCCCCTCGCTTTGAACTATATAACACAATTCATACGCTTTGCCGAAAACTGATTTCAGTAGAAGACAAACAATTTTGAATTTCTAACCAACAGTCATATTTTATAATTGCAATCACTGATGCAAAATTCTGCATTAAACAAATAATCAAACTCGCGTCGGTCAAATAAACAATTTATTTGAGTCATTTGGTTTTTTCCGTGGAAAGGAACAAACAGCTTTCATTTCCTTTCAAACGACACTTTTCGGACGTAATCTGGCTAGCATGCATTAAAAACTTCAGACTGTAATCACTGTTCATGTTGCTGTTCCATTTCCATGCCCTCTGGTTCTAATCCATCGCCATTGGATGCTGAAACATTCGCGCAATTTTGGTTTGAACTCAGTCGACGAGTGATAGTGCTTTAAACTATCCGGACATGAACAAAATTAGAAATTTTAAATGCATTTTTCTCAAACTGGATTAGACAAAAAGTAAAGAGAACAAAAAATTGCTCAGCATTTTACAGCATGAGTATGATGCAATTTACTTACGAATTTCGGATCAAAAACTTTCCCCAAAACTGGGTCGTTGACTTTTTTAAAGTCGATCAAGAATCACGCAAAAACTACCAAAGTACTTGATGAGAAAATTAAATCAAAAAGAGCCTCCTACAAGGCCCAACAAAGTTCTAAAGGGAAAAAATTCTCCAAAAACCTATATAAGAGAAAGTGTTTTTCCTTGGTAGCCAAAAACGTGATTTTTACTAAATAAAACCCAAAACTTTAAATGTTTTTTTTTGCAAATTATTGGAGATTTTACCCTTCTAGAACTTTGAGCTGAGTAAAAACCACTTTTCGATATAATTTTTTCTCAATTAACTCGGTAGTTACAGCGTATTTCTCGGTCAACTTAAAAAATTGAAAGTGCCCCATTTTTGGGGTAAAATTTTGGCTCCGAATTAAATTGCACCATATCACTTTTGGTGAAATTCCAAGTATATTTCATTTTCATCAGTTTTGTCATATTCTAACCCAACTTGAGAAAAACGCCTTTGAAGTTTCCAATGTTGCTCGTTTTGCCTGGATAATTTAAACACAGGCGAAATTGCACTTCGCATACACAAGCAAAAATATGACCGATAACGATACTGGGAAAAATTGAATGAGTAAAACTTTGAGTCTACAAAATTTCTTTATAGATACACGCCAATTGTGCGTCTACATAAATGCTAAGTGACACAAGCCAATTATGACGCATTACCAGTACCAGTCAATTTAAAAAAATTACCAACTAAAATGCCTCAATTTATAGAGCGGATGCATTTTAGCTAGTATACAAAAAAGTTCATTAAAAATCTGTGACCTTGCTCAGGTTCGACCAATCTTATTTTGTTGCTGGTCTCCTTCCCTACCTCTACACTACACTACAGATCCATGATACCTTGAAGCTAAAGTGCTATTTGTAACAATAGTGTGTGTCAATATCCATCCTTAGCATTGGCTGTACTTAATAGCTGGTTATTAATCAAAATGAACACATTTTGTCGCAACAATATTCGCGTCACAACAACATTTGCGATTTAGGTTGAAGAAAAAAAGTTCCTACTATAACACAAGCTTTGCTGGTGTAACCAGAACTGTAGTTTTTTTGAAGGCTGACAATTTTTCTGAACAAATTGACTTCATAAGCCTTGGACTCTTTGGTTTTTTTGCGAAACTTCTGATGTGAATCTAGATAGTAGAAGGTAATTTAGTTAACATCAAAGCTCAAGTAACATATTCAATTAATGTTATTGAATTGGGGGTTCTCCCTTTGGTACTATTTCACATCAAACTTTTGCTGTCCAACCCTAAAATTTTCGAAAGACCCCAATTTATACGAACTTTGAGTAAGGAGCGCGCACCGAAAAAGAAAAATTATTGGTCAAACTTTATTGAAAAAACAAAATATATGGCCTTCGAATCTAACGAACAATTTATGATTGACATTTTTTGATAAAACTAGAGGCCAGCAAAAGCTGGAAATACCCGTTTGATAATTTTGACTTTTTTAAACTGATGAGTAAGGGAAAGGGAAAATTTCAAAAACTGGGCTTCACCCAAAACATCAGTTGGTTTTCTAATAAAATAACTAGAAGTGAATTTTCTTGAGTTCGATTTGGCAGGATAACCTTCGAGAAAATCAAGAAGTTTCAAAAAACGGTCAAAAAATAGAAAATTTGAATTTCCGATGGTCATAACTTTTTGTTTTAAGAAACTGGGTGTAGCCGCTTATACAGGGGAGCTTCCCACAACCCGTTCTACCTATTGAAACCAAAATCTCAGATTTGGGAGGGTACTTTTCAAGAAAAATCAAAAAATTCGAAAAAAAACCGGTCAAAATCGTAAATTTGACTTTTCTGAGGGTCATTACTTTTTGTTTGAAAAAATTTGGGCGTATTCGCTACTGCAGGGGAGCTTCCCACAACCTGTTCTATCCGTTGAAACCAAAATGTCAGATTTGAAAGGGTAGTTTTCGAGAAAATTTAAAATATTCAAAAATTTGGGTCAAAGATTCCCCCACACACACTTTTTCGAAAGCTGTAGAAAGTGATGTAAGGTAAAAAAAAAAAGATACAAGTGAATTGAGTGGGCACACAGGTGAGTGGTCGGACTTTCCATTGGTACCACTTTTTTGAAAATCGGCAGGGTAGATTTGGAGAAAAATTGAAAAAAAAAAAATTCCAAAGCGTCAAAAAAAAAAAAGTAATTAAATAAAAAATCCAATCCCATACATTTTTTTAATACCTGTTTTAATCAAACAGTAAATTAATTCAATTTGAGAAAGCTGGATGAATTGGTAAAGTTTGTATTCCGCGGGAAAAACTGGTTTTTCGTGGCCTTTACACTTTGGCTGCTCGATAAAGGAGTTTGATTCACAAAGAACTTAAACCGCGAAAAAATTGAGCTTGAACAATTTTCAAGACTTTATTGAAAAAAAAACAATCTGACCTATAAAAGAATCTTCGCTACGTTCATCGACTCTTGACGTTGACAGGCAATCGTTTCGAGATCGAATCATTCTCAGAAAAAAATTGGAAATTTTATACGGCTCTGTTGACTACGCTGGAATGAGTCCTAAATACACTGAAGATCTTCGTTTGATCTAAACGATAAATTGCATTTTCCGTTCAAGAACCTGTGTTTGACTGGGGTTCGGGTGCTGCTGGTGTTGTGGTGGCAGTATTGGTAGTAAAATCTATATGCACTTGTTGTCCTGCTTGGAGTTGTCTCAAAATGTCATCCGAGAACTGTCCATCCGAGGAGAAAAATTGTTCCATGCCAGATGGAGGAGCACCCACTTCGATATCTTCCGTGTGTGATAAAGGGATTATTGCTTGGTCGCCAGATCCAAATTCCGGCATGAAGTCACATTCGCCTAAACAGGTTCACCAAAAAATTACATCGACAAAAGAAAGGAGCGACATACAAACCAAACTGTTCGTTAGCTCAAGGTTATTTTCTGGAACGAATTTTTTTCGTTTGATTCACTGATGATCGTTTCCATGAAAAAATGTTCATTTCTTTAAATTGGCGAGGAAACTTCGTGTGTGTTGATTTGACTTACCTTCATCTTCCTCTCCACTGTATTCGTTCATTGTGGGGTCTGGGTGAAGCTCCTGGCACTGATTCATTGCCTGGAACATTGGCTCCAGATCCAGCACATTATCCGGACAGAAACGCACTTCGCAGCAAGTGTCATCCTCTGCGTCTAAGTTACTACCGTTCTCGCTTTTTTCGTCCTGAAACAACTCTTCCGTTTTTGTTTCTTTGCGCTGGTGCGTTCCTCGCCCGGTTTTACTTATGAAATCAGGTTTTACTTATGAAATCACTTGCAAACCAAAATTATAATTTGCAAATCATAGCATAGGGGGAAATTCGAGTCCGCAATTTTGTGCTTGCAGTACCTTCATCACTATCATTTACATGGCATAAAGAGAAACCCTCTTATTCAATTCCAGCTCCCTCAAAAGGAGAAACCGTATGTCCTGAAGAGAAAAATCGTTCACCTAAAGATAACAGTAATGCACTGACCTCTTCGTCCTCATTCTGTGCCATGTCTGCATGTCTTGATTGCGTTCGTTGGGAAGTGGGAAGGAGGTGTCCTTCGACCATGAGGAATAGACAGTCTTTGCTGAAGGCGTTCTTGTCTCTAGAGATTGCATGCAGCTGGATGTTGGGGTAGTACAGTTCAAATCCAGTCCCATCTACATTTTGCCACACCACATTGCTGCAACGAATGGTAAGAGCTCATCAATATCGGATTTTCATACCATCAAATTAGTAGAAGGTAAAGGTCTAAAAGTTGCTTTAACGAAGGCTTAAGAATTTAATCTTTGTCATATATTGATGAAATTTACGATAGCATGATAAAAACTTCATTAACCCCAATTATCTGAGTCTAAATTGTCCAAAAACACTCAGACTGATTTAAATTTAGACTGACATACAGACTGACTGAATTTGAATATGTCATCAATGTAGTATCAGAGTGAGTTGTGCGACCGATAGCTTACTCTTCTGTGATGTAGACTACGCCTTTGCCTAGACATGTCTGGTCTACGAATACTTCCGTATTCTGCTCTTGATGATGAATCTTTGCAGTCTGCGCAGGTGCTGTTACATACCCAAGAGCCATCTCTTGAAAACTCAATCAATAGATCTAAAATAAACGGCATTGCAAAAACAACCAATATTTTTTTTGTCATTTTCTGTGCCCTCAAAAGAAAACCAGCGCAGACTTGCATTTTACAGCAAAAGGTACAACTCTGCAACTGGCTTTTACGTATATATTCCAGTTGCATTAGTAAGGCCGGTCCGAAATGAGGAACGATGTTTTTGCTTTTTTTTCATTATCTCACACCATAATCACTTGGAAATTGAATTTTCGAAACAAGGAAAAAATAACAGATAAATCACTGCGATGACGAGGTTTAGTTTTCATTCATCCATAAAATATTCAATAAACTATCAAAACGAAAGAGGTACACCAAATTAAATCGATCGATGGTAGAATACTGCATCAAAACACACACGTGCAGTGGTGTACTTCTGCCAGGTCGTCCAGGATATAGTGCATGTCTATTCCGATTCTGTCCGCGATCTCCAACTTCTCCGGCAAACTTAGAGAGGGGAACTGGAAAATCAAATCCCCGTCCACTATTCCTTTACTCGAGTTGGCCAAGAGTCTCCATCCCTCCAATGGATACCTATATGCTTTTGGGTTGAGACCGGCTGATTGCACTAATACACTGTACATTGTATTTTGCAGCATGCGCAGACGTCTATAGAGCTTCTCTTGAACCGGAAGCACATATCCCAGCGCACCGTCCAGTGTGCCGAAGTAGGACACCATTTTGTTATCCAGCTCTTTCAGTTTTCGTTGGTCGTTTTGTTGAGTATGGAAGAAGAGAGATTTGCACTTGATGTTGACGAAAGAGTTGATTTTGCAACCAGCGTTGAAATCGACCATCTTGACCAGTCTCTGACCCGAGTGGCTCTCCTTCAACTCCGGCTGATACATGAGGAGATTCAGATTGCACTTAGTGTCCGAGACTAGGAAGCCCATTAGCTTGTTGTCGACTAGAAATGTAGAAGCCATACTTTCTACTCGGCGCGTGTCTTTACTGATTAAGCTGAACGCCTTCGTTTTAGGGTCAAATTTGTGCAAAATAATGCTCTTGTAAATATCGTTACTGAGCACAAAACTTTTCATGGTGTGAATTCCTAGGGTAAAAGGAGTTGCATCTACGAAAGCGCAGGCTGTAAACTTTTGATACTGGAAAGTGTGAATAAATATTTTCTGTCCCGATGATGACACCAGGAAGCCCTCAACAGCATTTATTGCTGTAATCGGTCCTTTCTGCTCATGTTCGCAAATTAGTCTCAGATTGAATTTCTTTTTCGTGGTGTTGCCCTTCTCGATGTCCTCCTCTGTTGGTTTCTGAACAGTCAAGTCAAACATTCTGATCCAACCTCTACATGGCAGCTCCTCCCCGTACACTTGACTGCATCCGATCACAACATACTCCTGCAGAGCGGATCTCTCGCCTTCGTTGGCCAGCTTGACACACTTGAGAGCAGTGATGTGGTCCCACTCCTCTGACTCCCAACTGACGTCCGGTTCAAACTGCCATGAGTCCGGTTGCATTACCCTTAAGGCGAACTTAGTTATAGTAGGATAGACGTAGTTCTCATCGCGCTCCAGCAACTCCGGGTCCAATTTGTCCAGAACTAGTCTGGGCATCCTATTTACTGGCTCTGTACAGGTGGTCACCACACAGTACGCCTTCGTCTGCAAGTGATAAGAAACATGTTGTACAGTGGCCTTGATATTGATCTTCCTCGTTGGCCAGTACGCGTCATAGTCCCAATTAGAGGGCAACAAAGCAATTCTAAGTTGGTTCTTTTGGGTGAAGTATAAGAAACCAGCCGGGCAGTTTATATTGTTCAGATTGGCGTAATTTATTATTGCACCGTCATGCCACATGATATGGGGTCGAAGCAAGCCTTTGTCGGTCATCAGAATCCACAGTGGATGGAACCCACAAACGAACACCCCGTGGTAGCCAGATACGTTTTCAACCACTCGTATTCTCTGAACTAGTCTGGCTACGGTGGATTTCGGAATTGGATATCCATCCTCAGACAAGAGAACTTCCTCTTCTTCTTGTGCTCCCGGCAGCCCAGTGTAAAGAGCAGGAGTTTTCTTAGACACTCTTCGCTCGCCCAAGTATTGGTGCATTAGAGTGTCGTGACAGAACTTATGCAGAGATACTTGCAGAGTTCCCTGGGGTTGTGTCGTCACTGACTCCTTGATCTCATAAATCACCAATTCGTCATTCAGTAAAGCAAAAAGATGAGGTCGACATTTGTTCGGACCAAGACCCACAATTAACAATTCGTTGATGGGAAACTTATTTGTTCGCAGGTCTTCTCCTAAAAGGTGGCTTTCGGTTTTTATTTCTACGTGATTACCAGACACAGGAATAGATCTTTTAGCATGATAAAACTTCTGAATTGTGAAACATGGCTTCAGATCTGGGAGAGAGAGTACTTGCAGCATACCATTTTGCAGTCCCACTGCACACCAATAAGTCGGAGAAACTTGTGACACTTTTGGATATTTGAAGACATTTGCTTTCTTGTCTTCAGATGGTTCTGATTTGACCTTAGAGATCCCAGAAAACACCTGAGAAAGGTCAATTTGGGACTTCTCTCCGAAGAGAAGTTCTTCTTCTTGTTCTACTGTCAGTTCATTGGTACCCTCTTGAACTTTGGAGCTTTGGCTCAGTAAGGTTTTTCCAGATGATACTGGATTGGCTACTTTCTGGCCAACAGCAAACAATTCGCTGACATCTTTATATAAACACCCACTTGTTACAAGGAACCCACTTTGATGATCACAATCTTTTTTCAAAAACGTCAGCTCCACACTTTTCATTTCATCTGGTTTACGTTTCATCTGCACTATGTGGAACTTCCCAGTAGATGTTAGAAGAAAGATGAAAAGGTCAGTGACCGAAACGTAAACTATGGGTGAGTCAGCAGGATCTAGACTCAACATGGATTTCAGCAACGTGTGCTCCAGCAAAACTACCTTGGTTGGTGTTACTTGAATGGAGAGGTTCTTATCGACATTGCCAGCAAATATGGTTGTTTCGTTGTAGATGAAACCACTCTGTTCCACCTCGTTGATCTCTTCCCGCGTCTCCAGAATGGCGGTTGAGTCATTTCGGGCCAGGATGAGACATGAGTGTCTCTGATTTCCTTTCTCATCCACTTCGGATCCCATGGTCGTCCAGAGATCTATGTAGTTGGGCAACTCAAACGTCGTGATCAAGGTAGGTTTGATGGTCTTCTGTAGAATCGTGATGGCGCCATTCTTGTCATGTCCGCTTCCTACTAGCAACTCACTCTCTACGTCAGTGGAGTTTTGAGCCAGACCTTCCGAGATGTAAAGAGATTCTCCCACGGTCGTCTTTCCAATGGGGCCAATGTTCAAAATGCTATCACACACTTCTAAGTTGTACGAGTAGATGACTTGTGCAATACTCTCAGACTGTAAAATAGCTTCCCCGTAGATCTCATGATCAATCTCATCGGGCGCAACTTCCATGTAGTCCGCTACTGTGTTTAGGCGACGCTTTTTGTTGGCTGGCTGCTTGTGTGGTGTACGTGATAAGGCTGTGTTTCTAATTCGACCAACAGGCGCCAGAGATTTAGAGTAATAGAGCAACAGAGAGTTGGCTAGTCTAGAACCTAGAAATATATAGTTGTCTCCTAGATGAACAATGCAGCATGTTAAAACACTAGTGGCTGCTTTCTGGAAATTAAATGACTTCACTGCTCGCATTTCATCTGTTAGAAGTGTGATGATGTGAATGTCGCCCGTTTTCAGAATCACAGCAACTTTGTCTGACTCCAGGAGACACATTCTGCATGTGTCAAACGCTATCTTCTCTTCATAAGCTGCAGTGAGCAGGAAATCGGTTGTTCCTCTAGCTAGACTGTTGGTCATTACCCCATAAGGAGGTATACTCTGGTTCAAGTAAATCAGAACATTCGCGCCAAACACAAGTGAGCCTCCGATTGGTTTAGGAACTGCTAGTAGCTTGAAACAGTCAAATGGCAGCCCACTTTGTGACCAAATGATTGGATAAGCTTGATGTGTCAAATTGAGAGACATGGTAATCATTGCAACAGTATCTTTTCTCGTCGCCAATCTACCTGGCCACGTTTGAATGGGTTGGTACAAAATCTGCAAAGTAGGTTCAAAGTAACCGTGTAGAAACTGCATGTCAAGAACATTGGCAACAGGTTCTTCCAATTCAAACAGAAGCATTTCAAAACTAGCTAGGGTTCTGTAGATTTGCAGGAAATGCTCCGTGGCTGAAGTTCCTCTGTCATCCTGCAGTTCTTTTTTGAGAGGAATGATGACAACTTTGCTACCATGTGCCACAAATGCAGCACATCTCATCTCAGGATCCACTCTAATTTCAGGCAGCGTCGGTCTATCACACAAGGTAGCTTCACTTTCGTCATAGTCGTAGAGCGACAGAGGTCGGATGTCATTTGAAATGGGATCATAGCAGAGTAACACGCAAAGCGCAGGCTTCAAAGTGACAATAAGCGCATCAGTTATATCTTGTTCGCCGTCTGGCTGTGCACTTCGCCTTACAACTGCAACTGAGACCACATTTCCGAACAGTCTGTAGGAAGCAACTTGTTCTAATTTGGCACGAGAATTGAACGAGGAGGTTGTCTCCGACGAGTCCCGACATCCCAGTCGATACACTATCATCTGATTGGCCCCGAATGTGATGAGTTGTTTGTACTTGAGAGTAGTGAAATAGCACCACACGCCATGCTCCACTGAAGTAACCGGATGGTTTACATGGAATATTGCATGCATGGACGTCATCACGCACCTGAAACTTCAAGAAGTAGCCAACAGGATGTTCTAAACATCAGATTCGCCACATGCTCAAATTGACCATTCTCAAAAAGCACACGACCTAAGTCAATGAAAGTGCACTTCATTCATTAACACTCGAAAACGTATAAGCGTCGGTGAAACGGCAACAATCGGTGAAACGGCAACAACTGATGTATATCACCTGTTCGTATATAACGCAGTGATGCCCCATATTACAATTTAATTATCAATTATTTCAACCAAGCCGTTTTAACAAAATGAACCAAAATTAAAAACGAGGCGTCAGTCTTGCTCCAAAATTGTCAAAAAAAACTCATTTTTACTTGTATAAAAATAGCATCACTTCTTGTAACTCAATTAATTGCATCAATAGGAACAAGTAAAATCGTTTAGTTTCGATCATGTAGTCTAGATCTATGACATATTTAATGAGTGTTTAATTAGAAAGAAAAGTACTATACAAGAACCTTCAAAAAACTGACACTCATATCAAAAAATTTCGTAAATGAAAAAAATCGAAAATTTGAATAAATTGTTAAAGCAAATTATCAGAACCCAAAAAAATCCTCGGACAAAATTATTTCGGTCTATCCCTAACACACCTCATTTTCCGACCTTTTTCAATCAGAATGAACTCATAAACTGAACTAACGTATTTTCCATTCAGATGAAAAAAAAATACATTTTTTTATTGTTCTTCAGCACTAACTTAAAAACAATGATCAAATTTAAAAAGTACGATTGCTCATACAATTTTGCTACATGACCAAGCAGTGAGAAAACACATCTTGTTACAAGACGCTACTAAGCTCGATAGTAAAACAAGAATTGAAGATTTATACTAATTACTGTTTTGCCGCTTATACCAGCTCTCGGGAAAAGTTTCAGCCAATTGTACATTTTTGGGCTTTTAATATAGACTGTTAATAACCTGTTCATTCGATTAAACCTATAATGTCAGATTTGGCAGGGTAGTTAATCTAAAAGTCCAAAAAACGGTTAAAAAAAACCAAAAATTTGAGAATCATAGCTTTTTGTGTGACAAAATTAGCATATAATTTCACGCAACATATAATTTCGATTGAAATCAAAATCTCAGATTTCAGAGAGTAGTTTTCGAGAAAAGTCACAAACTTTAAAAAACGGTCAAAATCAAAACGTTTACTTTTCTGAGTGCCAAACTTTTGGAGTCAAAAAAAGTTGGGAGTATTCGCATAAAAAATGAGCTTCCCGAAACCCGCTCTGAGAATTGAGCCCAAAATTTCAGATATGTTTTCCGAGAAAGAGTAAAAAAAAAACAGTCGGAAAATCAAAAATTTGAATTTTCAGAGAGCGATAACTTCTTGTGTGAAACTTTTTGTTGGTGTCCGCTAAAGCAGAGGAGCTTCCTGCTACTCGTTATCTCCTTGAGCCCACAATATCGGATTTGAGAGGTTAGTTATCGAGAAAAGTCGAAAAGATTCACAAAATAATCAAAATTTGACTATTCCGAGCGCCATAATGTTGCAAAAAAATTGGTCGTAGCCACTTATGCAGCGAAACTTTTCAAAACGGTTCAATTCATTATAACCAAACACTCATATTTGAGAGGGATAGTTTTCGAGAAAACGAAAAAAAAATCAAGAATGACAGAGGCGTCAATGAAAAAAAGACTCTGGGGGAGTACGCATGCACAGAGAGTCTTTCAATTGATACCCCTTTTTTTGAAAACCAGGAAAAGTTCCTGAGAAAAACTAAAAGTTTTGCAAAAAGTAGAAAAAAAAATCAGAACGAAAAATATGGGATTTCAACCAGCCGATTGGCAAAAACACAACCAACTAAAAAAGTGCGGAGAGGAGTACTAAAATTGTTTTTATCTTGAACCGGTTAAAAAGTCGGTCGATAAAAAATATCCCGAAATAATTTTGGCCGAAGAATTTTTTTGGCCGATACGAAGTCAAGGTTAGCAAAAGTACAAAAGTTAGGCGTAAATCGAACGCTTAAAAAGACATCAAATCTCCTGGCCTGCAGAAAACCAAAAAATATCAATCTATTTTTTTTTACATCACTTGGACCTAAATAACTTGCGCTAGTAGAAACATGAATAAAGTGTACACTAGAACGAAGCAGTATGAGACAAACGAAATTTCGATAATGACTGCAAAAAAAGTGTTCTAACATTTCGGCATCATTACATAAATCAGAAAAAGATTTAAAAAAATTAGGAGCAAATAAAATACAAAAATCTTTAACGAGAATACGACTAAAAGCAGCTCTATCAAGTGAAATCAGAAAAAGTAGCAAAAAGCCTCGAACTAGCGAAACCTCGGCTACGTATAGGATTCGAATCTGCAACACTGCAGCTTTTTGTCTCACGCTCTAACCACTCAACCGCGGATGCATAAATTGCCCAAACACTAGCTACTAATAACCAAGCTACATATGTAAAAAATTGCCAATTCGATAAGGCAAAAGGGGTAACAAATACAAAAAGACACAATAAAACCAAATCATGTATAAATTATGCATTACGAAAAAATTGCGAGATACATTGATTTGAAAAACCTCAGAAATCAAGCTTTTTATCATTGTATTGCCGTTTGAAACCATTAACTTTTTTCGGCTCATTTGATGAATTTAAGAAACATCAGCTGTGTTAACTTTTTATTAATTAAATGTTGAAGCACATATGACATTCCGCAGCCTACCGATTCAAAAATGCCACCAAAAGTAGCACTTTTATTTGCGCCTTAGGTTGGGAAAAAAGGTTCGTATTAATACACTGGCTTCGCAAGTGTAAACAACTGTCAATCCGATCAAAAATCTGTGGGCCTGAAAATTTGAGAACTCATGTAAACAATTTCTCAAATTTTCACAACTCAGTTACAAAAATTTCAAACCTAACTCCAATTAGACAAAAACTTATTGCCGTTTAAGAAAAACCCGTGGTTTGGTAGCACTGTACCAAAAAAGCTACAATAACACAATCATTAGTGTATATATAGGGGCTTTTATAAAATTTCAGGACAGTTGGTTCAAAAATGGATATCGTAAAATTGTACCTTTGTGACTCATTTTGTGGTCGAGGTGTCAAAGCCAATACATTAATTAACTCTCTTATCGGAGTTTTAAAAAAATTACTCAATTTTGAACTATAATGCTAATAAGTTCAATTTTTTTTCGATCGCATTTCAATTATTACGAATAAGAAGGAAGCACGTATTCATATCGTTGCAGAGAGAAGTCACATCTCAATCGAAAACCAATTCGAATCAATAAAAATCATAATAAGATTTAATTAAACCCGCAAGGCGGGGATTAGTTGCTCTTAGTCATTGATAACAAAGTTAATAAATTAAACTTAAAAACCATGACTCTGGATAAATCAAGTAATTAAATGTTCGTAGTTTGTCAAACAATAACAGGTTCAAATTCTTTCTAAAGACTACAGGTTCTTGAAAACGATAATAGCCAGGCAAATTGTTCGATTTCGCGAGGGTGTTTGACATTTCTGCTATACGGTAAAATAAATTTTACAAAGTTTGCTCCGTGTTATCATTTGCATTCTCGTAAACGTCTTGTTTCCCATTCGATTTGAATCAGGGCCCTTGTCGATTGTCCATTTATCGGCAACTCGTTCTTAAAAAGGTTATTCAGCTAAATTAAATTGTTTTTAAATAACGTCAGTGAAATTGGCAACAGTTTGCTTTTATTAAAGTAAAAAACTTAATCCTCATCATTTAATTCATGTTTTTGAAACACTATTCAGAGCACTGTCGTTGAAAATTTCCTATTCACTTACATTGGTTTCATTTCGCAAACCAAACTGGAGATGCAAAAAAATATCGATAGTATGAAAACGAAACCCGGACAGAGCTACTGAGTGAGTTTGGCGAAGATGATCTGATCTAATTAAAATGCACGTTTGCTTTTGAAAGTCTTTCGGTTATGTGGTATATCCATGACATTTTGAATTGCACCAAACACTAAGGTCTTCCAATGTGTCTTTTGAAGCTATTTGTTCTCCATTAATAGATGAAAGATCGCTTAAAGGATATCGCTTGTTTGATTTTTGAAAGCTAATTTGTTCAGATTTGTCAAAATTGAAATCAATTCTGTTTTCTGCTGCCCAGGTGATTACATTGTTTATATCTGTTTGAATCGAAGAAAGGTCAAACCAATTTCCAATAATTTTGGTATCATCAGCATATAAAAGGAAAAAGTTGTCAATAATGTCTGGCATTTCATTTATATATATAGAAAACACGAACACTGCATAAATTGATCCCTGCGGACTACCACACATTGTACTATGATGTTGTATACAAGGAATCAGAACAAGGAGAATTACCTCTCACGCTATTTTTAGATATTGCAAAAGCTTTCGACTATTAGCCATAACATCATTTTATACAAGCTTGCCAAAATAGGCTTCGAACATGAGTTTCTTCAATTTTTTCCATCAGATCTCATAGACAGACAACAAATAGTTTTTCTTTGTAATACATTGTCTCATATCCGCAATATAACGAGTGGTGGTCCACAGGGATCAATTTTTGCAGTGTTCAATATGGTTTGTCACAGTCGAATGATGTTTTCGAAATACATGTTGGTTTTTACAATTTTCTTTGAATGAACCCTTTTATCTTGTTATATGAAACTCGTTCAATTACTAGGGCGAGTGCAGGAAGTAATGAAATGGGCCTGTAATTTTCAATGTTCATACGAGAAGCTTTTTTGTATAAAGTATTAATGTGTGCTATTTACCAGATAACTGGAAACTCTTTATTACTGACTATGCAATTAAGCAGTTCAACAATATCAATGAAACAGAACAGTGAGACGAAAATTAATATGTTAGGAGATACACCATCAACTGAATTTGTTCCTGATTTGCATTTACTCCATTCGTTAAGAATTTCGCATTGCGAAACGAAACTATCTGATAATTATATTCATGGAAAAAGACTTTCGCTTGGAACATCCAATGTTTCGTTGTCTATTTTGTAAACAGATGCAAAAAACTCGTTAAAAGCCTGACAGAATGCAAAATCAGAGCAAAAGCGGGTATTCTTGTATGACATTTTACTGGGTACTTAAGCCTTTCCATTTATCGATCTGAAAAATTTGTAAGTCAATTTTAAACGAAGTCTTTCATTGCCTCTAAATAAACGGCCTTGTCTAGTTCTTAAGAATCATTCAATTATTGCTTGCAGCGTTTTACTTTCTCGTCAGAATAATTATGTTTAGAGTGACGAATTGTCTTTTTTGGAATATATTTGTTTACGGCTTGATAATACAACCCAGAGAACGTTTCCAGCATTCAATCTGCATCATTCGAGCAATGAAGTCTGTTGTTTAACTAAAACAAACGCAATGATTCGGAGTCTGCTTTAAGGATCCAGTAACCATTTATATTTATCTATTCCGTTTCAATTTCAAATGCTATTTGACAGGAAAGTGCAGGATGATCTGAGAAGCTTTGGTTTCTTTCGAAGTTATTACATAAAAAAGGATTGTCTGTTAATAATGCGTCTCGCTGTACAAAATCATTATCTGACAGAAAACCAAGATTGAACTTCGCAATTATTTCACAAAAAAACTGGATACACATTGGTCATCACTTGATAAAATATTCTAAACAACTGAAGTTAAGCAGATCACCGCATAAAATCGTTCAGGTTAGAGTCCACCATACGCGTTGTGTTAAGGTTAGATTCTACCATATGAACGTTGAGTTGTTTGTTCACTTCACTCAAAGAATTTTCAAGTAAAATTCCGTTTAGAGTATAAGGACTGTCATGCGGTGGATTGTAAATGGCTGCATTAGGTTATTCAGTTTCACAAACAAATATGAACCAAAGTAAAAAATAACTGATTGATCATCGATGATATTAAGTTTAGATGAGGTTTCAACCGCAATTAGGACTCCTCCTTGAGGTCCAGTTTTCCTATCAGAACGGTGAATTACTTCATATACATCTGTGCAGAAGACTGCAGTATTTTCAATATGTTTATCCAACCATGTTTCACTTAGGGCAACAATGTCAGGTTGATGGATTCGCAATAAATTGTCCAGCTTGATTTTCCGTTCAATTGTTAAAATTGATCTGCAATTAAGTGACAAAAGTTTTATGTCATTTAGTAGTCATGAGGAAGAGTTCATTTTACCAAGAATTCGATCATACTCAGATTGAACCTCTTTGTCGCAGTCAATTGTGCTTCCCGCCTTTATTTTGAATTCTGATTTTTCTTTTTTCATCAAAGAACTCAAATCGTAACTATATTTCAGAACTTTCCTTTCGTTCTAATTCATAAACTCTTTGACAGAAAATAAGTTTATGATGCCAAGATGGAATGAAAGACAAGAGGTCTTGATTTGTATGGTATTTCTTTACCAAGCCTAAAACAGTCGCTCACAGTAATTTCTTTAAGTTCCATCCTATCTCTGAACATTTGTAGCAATTTTTTTCAATGACGCCACACTGTAAGCTATTTGAAATAACCAAACGATTGCTTTTTTATAAAAAGACCCCCTGCCCCCCCCCCCCCCACACACCGACACAAACTCACCGAATATTCGAAGACAACTTACGACAATCAGATCCCAGTAGACAAATCACAGAGACGAAACTATAACAAAGACTATTACTACAGTCGAATTTATAGCGCTAATAGTCAGCAAAAATTCTTTCGAAACAAGAAAAACAGATTTTGCATAGCAGACAAATGCCCATTATCGTGTACAGTCGAAATCACCGAAGTCATTATCTGAGTTATGTTGACTATCTACGTCCCATAAGGAATAATAAAGGGTCTAGAAACTCAAAAACAAAAATTGCTTCTGCATATTTCAAGTTCTGTCAAGTCCAGACCTAAATCAAAAGTTCTAGAAGTCGGACGAAATGCTGAAATAACGAGACAATCAAACATTATTAATTTAATTAAATTGAACTTGGTAAAGAGTATTTTGTAAATCGACTTTAGTTCATAGAACAATTCATCCAATTATAAGCTTAATTTATCAAGTAGTGAAAGTGCAAATAAATCTCCTTTACAAAAGGATAGTTGTTCAAATATACTATGCCAGCTCCTTATGATACAAATTGCATCCCTACTTGGAAAAAGCGGGCTCCAAAACAATACACACTTTACAAACTATTGAAGAGCACCACGATGAGCATAATACCAGTACAGTTCATTAGCGTAGTCAGTCAATGTCAACTCGGGTTTAAACCAACTCAATAATCCAAATAGTATTGCTAAGAATTAACATCACTCCGATGCATTTCATTGTCAGCACTGGCAGAGTGCACGCCTGTTTACAATTCAAAAAATGTGTTCAAAGCCTTTGCTAATTCAAATATTTTTTAGCTGCCTTAGTTACACGCTAGTGGTCCAGGATCCTCAAGTTACCAGATACAATTTTGTTTTCCAGCTCTGCGCCTGTAGGGATATCGATTCGCTCTCCGTGGTTGGCGATGATAATGACAGTTCCCTTCAGGACAACATTCCTCCCAAAGGTCACGTCTCCAGATACCGTCAGGTGATCCAGGTCGATCAGGTTTGGGATGTCCATGATTCGCTTATTAAACTTGGCCATCTTAGCGAATTCGTGGCCTAGTTTGACAAGAGGTGTCGTTCCAAAGATTCTCTTCTCAGACATGAGAAGGTTTCCACTCTTGACCGCGTAGATGTTGGACATCACGAGGAGCAGGTCAGAGGTCGTTTTCACTGGCAAGAATCGGTCTCGGTTTACATGCAGTCCGACTGATTTCTCGAAGCACTTCACGCCACTTCCAACTGCAGTCTCCAGCTGGATAATTTTTCGCCCATCCGCCAGTGTCTTCTGGTTGAGAATGATGTCCAGATCTACTTTCTCGCTCTCTACCACCTTCTTCATCGAGGACAACTTCATCCACAGATTATTCGTGTTGAATTGCTTGAACTTCTTCACTGACTTGAAGTCGTCGATATGCTCAGGAGGCACTTGAGCAATCTCCAGCAGCCTGATCTCATTCTAAAACAAAAACAGTCATGACTTAAGAATTTGCCCAAAGTACCTCTGATTGAGAAAGCACAAACAAATGTTGTACCCTGTATCTGATGAGTGTCCCTCCCTTCACGTCACTCGGGGTCTTGTCGGTGAGTTCCATGGCGAAGTCAATGCCCTCTTTCATGAGTTGGTACAGAATGGACACATCCACGGTCGCGCCCAAGTTGTCCACATTGGATACAAACACGTACTCCTTGCCCTCTTCTATGAGTCGATCGATCAGCTCCGAGTTGTAGAACGACTGGTAGAGATCTCCGTGGCCGGGCGGATACCAACCCTCCTTCTCCACCTGCAAAATCACCACACTCTCGACACTCTTAAGCTTTGAAAACACCATATAACATATAAATTGAGTTTTAATCGCATCTAGGTTTCAAGGAATTCAACCAAGTAGTACTAAACCCACAGCAATGAGGGCATCGACAACCAAATGGCGATGAAATATCGATCTATAACTTTCGGAGGGAAAACTACAAAAGCCAAACATGCGAAGAAAGTAACGTCAACTGAAAACATTGACCTTGTCACCATCGTGTTCAACAAAAATTCACCTATAATAGGGCAATAGTGATGGCCGTTCTTATTTGAATTATCAAAATTAGTCATAACTGATCGGATTATTGAGAAAAAATCAAAAATTGATATCAACTAATAAGCGAAGCGTAGTTTTGCACCTGACTGGCATGTCTAGAACGGAAATCATCTATCATATCAGAAATTATTAGTAGTTCTCCAAAAAATCTTCCAACCCATTTCTTTCATTCCTTTGTCACTTCAACTAGATAAAATAAATATATACACGAACTACAGAAAAAAAACTACAGATGCGCAGCTCTATAAAGTGAAATACGTGGAAACAAACCTCGAATTAGTAAAACTTTTGCTATGATTCGGATTCGAACCTACAACCTCGAAATTTGAAGTCTCACATTTTCGCATCTGCGCAACGGGCCATTGAAACTTTCCTAACACTAGCCAGCAATAAAGCAGCTACAGATGCTAATAAATTGCCAATGATATACAGCAAAGATACCACCAAATCTACATAAAACTAGTGCTAAGTGGGGCATTGAATCTCAGACCGGTAGATTAAGAAGCTCTTTTATGATTGACACCTTCGCTTGGCGAACGGCAAACGCTAGACATCAATTACGCAAAAACAGACTATGATATTTCTACCGTTACAGTTCTTGATATAGCAACATTGCCCCCAAATAAGCCCTTTTATTTGTGAGTTTGATGGGAAAAAAGTAAGAGTCATACTATTACACTACACTTTCTTGTTTAATAATGAAAAACGAAAGGGAAAAAGATTGCTTTTAAAGTGAGTTATCAGCATTGTCACTGATTCTGTCAGACAGGAACTTCGGCTATTATGGAATTCGAACCATTGATATTTTAGGCTCATATATTTTCGACTGAGTATGGTATTTTTGTTCCGACTACTTCACGAAGTGGGAAGGACAATGTGCCAGCTCTGACTTTTTCCCTCATTTTGACTACCCCAAAGAAAGCTCACAGAGCCGCTGGAAAAGAAACAAGTCGGTGCTTAAACCGATATAATTTAAACTGAAAGACATGCAGCCAAAATAAATGCGATTAATGTTTTTTTAAAGTTTTGTTTGATATTAGACTAATGTGGTATACAAAACAGGGGCGGATTTAGGGATTCGACCTAAATCCGCCCCTGTTCGACCACACTCAGGGATTCGACCCCATGCCGACCCAAAGGGTCCCCCCTTTGTGTTATTTTGAGATATCCACTTTTGGCTGACTGACCTTAAAAAATTTCTAAAGGCGCCAATATATACTAATTTTCAGGGGGGAGCGCGCGCCGAAAAAACGCGATTTTTTGGTAAAATTCTCCAAAACGTGCCTGAAAACGCCCTTTTTGGCCGGTTCTTTTCAAAACTTTGCCTGCGGCACAGAAATTTTGGCAAAAACAGGGTCTTTTTAGTGCTTTGGGAGAGCCCAGAAAATCAATTTGGTCGACCTAAAAAAAGGTCGAGCAAAAAACTTCCGCCCCCCCCCCTCTAGAAAATCCTAGATCCACCCCTGATACAAAACCAAAACTCTTAAAAATGCAAGTCGGCAAGTAGGCCGATATAATGCACATTCAAAACCAAGACGAATTTTTTTTAAAAAGCGTTAAATCATGTCAAAGCTAAATCATGACTTGCAAAGAGAAAGTTAACAACCCACAATCAATGATTCTATTTGAACCAGGTGCGGATTTACCAAAAAGGTTCCATCTTTGGTTTTATTTTGCAAATTGCAGTTGGGACGACTGAATATTATAGTTTTCACCACAACACAACCACCCCCTCTCCCCGAGAAAATCCTATATCCGCCCTGATTTGTACTCAGAGTCACCATTTGATTCCAGGGTTGCATGATTAAAATCAACTTGATTTAAATCGGATTTTAATCGTAGAATAAAAAACAAAAAAATCAACCCTTGTGTTATCCTGCCGAGTGCGCGGTAAACATACAACCCACCTTGCAGTATTTACATTGGTTACCTACTTAGCTCTTCATAGCATACTTTTAACTGGAAAAGTTTTTCAGCACCTTCGGATTTATCCATTCCAGCCTCAGAAATTGTCTTGGAATAGAAAAATATAGTTAACTTGTGTTCTTCTTTCGGATGCTGAATCAGTAATTTTGCGTAAATTAATTGATTTTTCAAACAAAAACGTTTCCAATAAAAATCGAAAAAATCAAGGTAAAATAATAAAAATCGGATTTAAATCAATCGAGAATATACATAGATTTTTATGCAACCTTGTTTGATTCCAGTGGGATCGAGGGTGACACAATCATGATCCCAAACCACTAAAATTCTAACGAAACGATCGGTGATCAACAACAGAAACAGAGGATGAAATAGATGATGTGATAGCACACTAGATCCCCCCCACCCCAACCAATCAAGTATAGTTTATACAGATATAATTACACTCAAAAGACAAGTTTCGGGTTTCCAAATGCTCTATCTTTCTGGATAAATACCTTGAGAAAAATCCATATGCAGTAAGACTCGGTACCGCCACAATTCGCAAGAAAAGACAACTCGCAAAATATAAGGAAAGCGACAGCTCGCAAGTTTTCGAAGCTATTTGGAAACTTTATATTCTCGGTTCAAGGTCGCCGGTGGGCGCGCTATGCGCGAGTTTCCGCTTCGCGGCAATAACGTCTCTAAATTTCGTATAAATCCTACCCTCTGTTGCCAAGCTCGCAACACGTTGGCGCGACTGCGGCGGTGAGTATATTGCGAGTTGTCTTTTATTGCGAGTTGTCTTTCATTGCGAGTTGTTTTTTCTTGCGAGTTGTCGCATTACGGTAAAACTCGTATTCCTGTGCAGTAAAACTCGCAGCTAATACACCGAAAAAGAAAGAGCCTTTAATAAACCCAAAGCTGATAATGATAGACATCTTTCAAGCACAAAAATATATAGAGGCGAAGCTGAGCTCCGAAACACTTGCGATACAACACAAACATAGAATTGATAGCTAGCTGACAAAAATGAGACAGAAGCCACCAAGTCGAAGCAAATATTTTCTAGAAAAAAAACGGCAAAAAAAAACATTCATAAATTTCACCAGTTGTCCCGTTAAATAAAGCTTCCAAAATCATTTTCTGAGCGGCAACTCAGCCTTAAATACTTGGATAGACCCCATATGAGCCAAAAACAACAAAAAATATGTCATCAAACAAGAGTCTGACAATTCAAGTTATCCCAAAAAAACTTCGCTCCATAGATATTGAAGAAAAACAAGGTGCGACCGTGACTGAACCTACAGTTCAGAAAACGGGTATCTAACCTCTGGACCAAGTGAGAAGGGAGACACGAGATATGTTAAGGTTCCATAGTAAAGCAAATTCTGATTTGTCAAAATTTATTACAGATTTGAAGGAAAAATGGTATACGGGAAAAACGTCTAGTTCATGATTACAAGTACACTTTCGCTCGCAAGTGAAACGATATGAACCAGTCGCCAGTAGATCAGAAGAATAAAGGATGGAAAGAAGATTTCACCACAGACCTTGCTACAAACGTTTTATTATTACCTCACTCTGAAAAGTATACCAGATGCAATAAGATTATGGCTCCAAATATTACAAAGATACTTTAATTTTTAACTCTCACAGATCAGAAGTCGACCACCTACTATTCATACTCCATAGTTTGAGGCAATGAAAACAATCTCCCCTTAATTCTAAAACTACTCGAAAAGCAATGAACCTTTGAGTCGACTGATTCTGCAAATGGTATCAACGTTTCCTGGTTGATTCTGGGAAACTTGCTTTGGTTGAAGGAATGGATGTCGACGTTGTCTGCAATGTACTTGCGCAGTATGTTCGAGGTGTCCTCATCCGTGTTGAACGAGTTCATCAGCACCAGAGGGATGCTGACGTCATGCTCCCTGTTCATGGTCGAGATCTGTTCCACTGTCATGTCCAAGAAAGTCCTGCCTCCCCTCACAGTGATTGCACTCTTAGGCCCCACACAGCCCATACTAGTGCCCAATCCTCCATTCAACTTCAACACCACCAGTTTGCTCAGCAGATCCCGCTTCTCACTCTCTGGCACTTCCACATTTTCAGACATCTTCAGCGTGAAATCCTCCGGCAGGGGCGTGATCTCATCCCATACAATGGACTCTGCCTTTCGTTCATCAAGGAAGCGCTGATAGAGCTGCTGGAAGCCTTTGAAGTTGCGCTCATAAAAACCCTTTTCGTCTTCGGTCGCAGTCTCCATCAGTTGGCTCAGCTTCTTAGACATCACCGACATCTGGTCCTCTTGGAAGGAGTCCATGCGCTTACGCAGAGTCATTATGGCTTCAACTGAAAAGTAAAAATGAAATAAATAAAACCAAGCAAACAAAAAATATTACACACTTGGCAAAGAAAAATGTATGCAAGACTGCTACTACTGTCATTTAACTGTTTAAAGATTTATACGCAGTTCAGAGCAGCAAGAAATAAAACCAAAAGCGGTCGATAAATAGTGAAGAATACTAAAAAAAAGATATCGAAGAATACTGAAAAAGAATCTTAAAACATCAGAATATCGGTTAGCTAACAGTATAATGCAATTATCTACCTGTTGACATTTTCTTGCGAGCAATTTTAGATGGATAAATGTGCGCTAATTATCAACACTTGGTACTAATGTCAAAATTACCGCTTTTCTTTCCCCACCACTCTCTATTTTAATGTAATAATTATCGCTAAATCAAGTAAGTAAGTATGTAACAGTTGGCACTTTAAAAGTGCTGCCAATGTAGAGCAATAATTCATGACGTACAATGGCTCTTGTTTTGTTTCGAGCACCACTCGTAACCTCAAAGTCAGAGGCCACGTTCAAGAAATCGTTCTAGAAGCAAAAGCCTCGCACATAACTTGTTAGAAGAGTAATCACCCAAAAAGTAAGATGAAGGTTGAATTTCACCGATAGAAATATCAGAAGTAAAAGAAGTAACCTTAAAGGAACATCGTCAGCAAACGTCAGGGTGAGTAAATGGTCCATGGAAAATTGCTAACATGCAATCCAAAATGGAGAGCTCTGCTGCTTAACACAATTTCTTAATTGAAAAATAGGTTTCCTAGACAATTTTTAAAGCAAATTTACACAAAACATCGAAATTGAGCTTCGCATCACTTATGTGATATATATACGATCAATACACAGGGATGATTTTTTAAAAAAGCTCATGAGAAAAATCAAACCATTAAAAGACAATTATGAGAATAAATGGCAAACAAAAACCATCAAAAGAAAAAATTTCATCGCAGACGACAAGCTGAGCTTCATAACACTTGCAATATACAATAAAAAGAATGTTCCAATTTTAATATTAGAAAAAAAAGAGCAAAACTTAATCGATTAGGAGTCTCATGTCCTCGCATATGAGCCTCAATCGCTTGAAAACTTAATCACACTAGCCACTAATAAAGAAGACACAGACGCTTTTAAATTGCCAATGCTATGCAGCAAACATGCCACTGAATTAAAACAAGACAGCTTGAATTATGGAGCAGTAAAAACATGAAAACCTTACGTGAATTAAGTAAGACAATTTTTTTTAATATGGGAATTTTTTGTAAAAATCATCCCCCCACAGACCATATACAATACAAAGTGATAGATTTCTTTCCTAATAACATATCAGTTCTGGCAAATAAGCTTCCTTTAACCAATTTTGAACGATTTCAAAGACGATAAAAATCTCCGCTTACCCGTTAATAGCGCGAAATATATCGCGCGTTAATTGTCCCAAATTGGCCAAAATGGCAATCTTTAAACCCCCATAATTTTACGAAAAATGATCACAGGTGATATATCTTTTCCAAATTTAAGCTCATGACAACAAGACCTTTTCAATGATATAGGAAAAAATTGTCAAAATGGCTAGTTCAAAAGTCGAAAATTGTTTGAAGAAAAAAATCACCCCGAGCACAAATATTCCGTTACTTTTGTTAGCAAAGTCGAAAAAAAAACCATTTCAATGTTCCGGAATTGAACCTGCAAAATTTAGTAACACAGGCCACTAAAAGCAGCTACAGATGCTAGTATATTGCCAAACCTTGGAAATAAAACAAAAAAGCAAATAAATGAGCAATTTAACAAAAAAGCAAACTTAGGTCTGAAAAAGTTTCTTCGTAGTATTATACTACGCTACGCTTGGATAAACAACCGCCATAAAAGGAAACAAATACCAGAAAAAACATGGATAGCCGGTTACCGTGCAAGTAGCACAGCATGTTCCGACCATAGATAGTCTTCAGAGAACTACGGTTTAGAAAGTTCATTTTTTTCCAAATTGGTGTAGTTTTTCTGCTAGTTTTTCTGTGCGATTAAAGGATCTGACTTAAAAATATAATTTAAGCATATAAGACAGGCACAGTAATATAGGCAAAATTGACAAAAATATCAAAAGAAAAATGACTTGAAAAACTGAAAAAAAAATAAAAGATCAAAAGAAATTTTTTGAAGTTTTTGGTTCCCAAAAAGAAGCCAAAAACTGTATTACATGCTTAAAATTAGGTTTTAAAGTCTTAAATTAGGCATAATTCAGCTTGTAAGCCTACACGCTCACGCCATATTAGTTCGAAATAAGACCAAAAATTTCAAACCGGTTTTTCTCGACAATGGGAAAAACTTTTGGAAATTTTTTAAGGTCGTTCAAATCACGACTGAACGGGCTTCAATATGATATATCTCTCAACCCAGTCCGATGATTATTTGTGGTACCTGATTATGCGAGGAAAGTAAAAAAAAGACTGATCGCTTGCTTTATTCGGTCAAATTAAGACAAAAAATCAAAAAATTTCAAACCGGTTTTTCTCGACGCTGGGAAATTTTTTTAATGTGGTCCGAATTACGACTGAAAGGGCTTTAATATGATATACTACTCAACCAAGTCCGATGATTATTTGTGGTACCTGATTTTGCGTTGAAAAAACTAAAACACACCCGAATACAAAGTTCCTCCCCATTTTCAATGGTCGGAACAAAAAAAAAACGGAAAGAAACGATATGAGGAAAAGATAGAAACCAGAAATCATAAGTTGAACCGAAACAGCATTGTCTCAAATAAAACCGAAAATTTATTGACAAACTTGATGACCAGTCCAATCATGAAAGCAAGGAAAAGTAAAAGATGTTATTATTATTATAATATGTACGATCAAAACATTTGCAGCTCGCAGAACAGTAAGATTCTTACATACTTGAAGTAACATATAGTTTGCTCCATTTTTGGTATTCAGTCATAATCATATTGTTTTGCGCCATCAAAGTAATAATTATTATAGTTGCTACAAATCGCAGAGGAGCTATCACAAGGCCGCAACAATCCTGTCTCAAGATAATTCAAGTCTGGAAATCATACAAATCGACAATTTTGTTAAGCGATGCTTTTTTTGCAATTTTCGCGCGGTACCATTATTGCAGCCGAAATTGGTCAGGATGTGGTAGACCTGAAGCTAGAGGCCAAGTGAGAGCTCATCCTCACACACTATCATTGCCATGGTAGTGCGGTAAACGACTTTTCAAAGTAAACGACTTCCCACTCCACTATGCTGAATGCCTCTGATGGCTTAACTGAACTGATGGAGTAACCATTACGAGGCCACATTGTATCTTTTGGTACCATCAAGAAAAAAATGTCTCGAATATAGTGCAGCTCCAAATGCTAGCCCAAGCAGCAAACTTTGCGGAATAAAGAACAAAATTTGCGGCATCGAGAACAATTTGCGAAAACAATAATCAAATAATAATATCAGTTCGCTGTGGATTCCATAAGGGCTTGTCGCGGAATCTTTATTTTGTTTGCGGAATCCGAACTTTTTTGTGATAATCCGAATTTGTATGCGGAATCAAGTAAGAAATAACTAGCGTGTATCGCACCTCCGGTGCTTCGAATTTTTGACAACTCATGAAAAACCGCATATATTGGAAACTAGATCTGCAGGCTTTTAATGTACTCTGACAGCACCCAATTTGAGTAGTCATATTTGGAGGCAATATTTACAACTCCCTGGGAGTACCCTGGCAGCACCCAATTACGGGGTTGGGATATTTAAATTTTGTGAATTTTTGTAACCTAAGTTTTCTGAAATTTTTTTGAAAAAAAAAACAAAACACGTCATATCTCGAAAACTACAAGAATTTGAACAGTCACATTTGAAGGCAAGATTTGCAACTCAAGAGAGTACCCTGACAGCACCCAAGTACAGGGTAAGGAACTTCAAATTAAAAAAACATTGATTTAAGTTTTTAAAAACTCGAAAACTACAAAAAGATGAGCAGTCATAATTGAAGGCAAGGTTCGCAAAACTTAAGAGTACTCTGAAAGCCCCCAACTACAGGGTTGGCTATTTGAACTTTCGAAAAAAAATTCGGTAAGTTTTCTGAGAAACTTTTTGAACAATCACAAAAAACGTAATCTCTCAAAAACTATACAAGGATTTGAACAGTCATATTTGAAGGCAAGAATCGTAACTCGATAGAGTACCCAGAAAGCACCCAAATATAGGGTACCGAGATTCAAATTTTGGAAAAAGGTAATTTAGTTTTTTGAATTTTTTTTGAAAAATCACAAAAAACGTCAAATCTCGAAAACTACAAGGATTTGAGCAGTCATATTTGGAGGCAAGATTCTCAACCCCTGAGAGTACCCTGACAGCACCCAAATATAGTGTAAGAAAATTCAAATTAAAAAAAAATTAATTCAAGTTTTCTGAAATTTTTTTGAAAAAAAATCAAAAAAACGTGATATCTCGAAAACTACAAGGATTTGAGTCGTCTCATTTGGAGGCAAGATTCGCAATACTTGAAAGTACCCTGATAGCACCCAGCTACAGGGTTGGGAATTTCAAGTTTTCTAACTTATTCTGTAATTTTAATTTTCTGAAAATCTTTGAAAAACAATCAAAAATCGTCGTATCTCGTACACAAAAAAGTATTGAGCATTCTTAATAGGACGCCAAATTCGCAACCACTTTGTGAACTCTGACAGCATCCCACTATTGGGCTGCTTTTTTTAAACTGGGCGGAACAGCCACTGAAATCAAACTGGAAAATCGAGAAGAAAAAACTGAACCATTGCAATATACGATATAGCTTGAACGTGAAAATTTTTTTCGTTAATTATGCAGAAATATTTCGTTGAAAAAGCTTAAAGGTGGCGAGATAGTGAAGCCCGTATTTAAAAGTATAATAGATAGATATCAAAAAGTGATATAAAAAAAGCGATACTAAAAAAGTGATACTAAAAAGTGATTAAAAAAGTGATATGAAAAAGTGATATAAAAAAGTGATGTTATAAAGTGATACAAAAAGTGATATGAAAAAAGTGATAAAAGAAAAGTGATATAAAAAGTGATCTAAAAAATGTTAATTAAAAAACGAAGGATCGAAAAAACAGATAGAGAAAGAAAGATTGGAGACAACCGTTTGACAGTACTATTCTGAACAGAATCGTCGAAACCAAATTGGAGATAGTCAAATTAATTAAAAAAGCAGGTATACAGACAGACAAACAGACTTAATTTGGCCTCGAGAAAAAATACTGAAAAATTAATGACTTTGCGGAAAACCAATTGTTTTTTAAGCATTGCAATATATGATATAGCTTAAACATGAAAAAATTCTTTCGTTAAACATGCAAAATTTCTATGCTTAAACATGGGAGATAGCTGTAACTAGCATTTAAATATAGTATAGATATAGATTAAATATAGTATAGATAGATA